GATACGCAGCTTATTAGCAAGAACAATAAAGGAACCAAATATTTCAGGTAGGAGTAATTCCCAATTTTTTCGACCACTCAAACTGAAGTGAATGGCTTGTATTAGCTTGAAGTGATTCTTTACCTGGCTGATGGATTGCTTTGAGAGGCAGTTGGGAAGCATCTGAATTGAAGAAAAACAGCAGATTCTTCAAGAGCTCCACTGACTCTGCTGACACTAGGATCTCTCTCTGTATTACACCAAATGTATGGGCAATGTCAAAGCCTCTACCATAAGATAGTAAAACGCTAGCGCTACACAACCCTTTTTCTAGATTACATATTCAGTTTGTTCTGAAAAAAAACCAGAGACTGTAAGTGCAGCAAAATATGTATGGATACTTGAGAGTCGGTGGATTACTTTTTAATTGAGCGCATACTTTGGCTCAATTTGTTTACAGTACTCCCCGTCCCATGACCAAAGAAATGCCAAAATGCCCTTAGATGAGCACTTGGCAGTCCAAAACTAGGATACAAAATATTTCAATCACATTAAACACAGAAGTTTGAGTTGTTCGAACATGGAAGTTACAATTGTCTCTCAAACTTTAACCCACTCGAAGCTTTGGCTTTATTAATCATGACTCACAAAGGAAAGATTCAAACCCTCTTTGAAATAGGTTCATTTTAAATTAATCCCCAGGGCCTACCAGATCATTAACGGGTAGAACACGCATTAACAATAAGAGAAAATGTCGAAGATGACTTATATAAGCATGTCTCTAACCTTGAAGTTCTTTTTCGAATCATAATACCCAGAAACAACCACGAGAAGCTGAAGTTTCTCCATCTCTGAAATTCACGATAAAAAACAATGAAATTCATCAATTTAGTTTGGAACAGGGAAAACAAGATTAAAAGACGTGTAAGTGAGTGGCAATAAAAAACTATATATAATATCTTCAGCATTATAGTATGTTACTAACATTATTAGCGGCATAAAAAGAACATAAATAACTGAAGTGAGCTTGGATTAAAGGTCGACCTATACTATCTCAAATCAGTAAACAAACTGACTAGTAAAGGCTTCAAGACTTCTGTTTCTAGCGATATGATAGATGTTTATGGATCAACTTCCTAACGAGAATTTAATGAAAGAAAATTATATACTTACGTTGGAAATTTTTAATTTCACGCACTGAGGTGTTCTCATGTTCAAGAAGCTGTGCAATTGGCATTCCGGTGGAACTCATCCCGATTTGTGATGTTCTAGCACCAAGACCCTCCAGTTTACCTGTTTCAACAACTATTAAGTTAGTGGAAGGATATTCCATTATGTTGAAGGGCAAAAACAAATCCCATGACAAGCTTAAAAGGACTGAGGTTAGTTCAAGTCCAGACCTACTCTTGTCCACTTTTTGAAATCCTTGCGCAATATATCACTAATCTTGAGATTAGATACATCGTACATTTTGTATCTCACTGAAATAAAACAATTATATTTAGAGGAAGAAGTTTTGAGGAAATAAAGTAAATTAAAAAGATGGACAGGCACGTAGTGGACGTTACATACATAACTGGTAAAGGCCATTGCATCCAAAGCGACCAGCACCATGGATTAACAGTGCAGACATGTACTTATCCTTGGTTGAACAATGAGAACTACACAAGTTTGTGGAGTCTAAAAGGATGGCAGCTAACTGCAAGAAAAAGGAATTCCAGAGGAAAAGTAATGTAATAAGGCAATGGAGGGAAAAGTAAAAGTCCAAACTTAAGAGCAATTCATGGCAAACCATGCTTCCAACTACTGATCCTCCCACCCAGGAACTCAAAGGGCTAGCTACTATAAGTGGTAAGGATCTGACTACCTATCTTATGCTACGAGTCGAACCTAAGGAAAGAAACGGGGAATAGGTACGTACCATCATGATACACATCTGCTGAAAGGAAAGATGAAAGAAATAAAAAGGATAAGGAGTAAAAGAAAATCAAAAGGCCAAGAAAAATTTCTTAAAATCATGGGAATGGTTTATATCGTTGCTGCACAAGTACATGGCCTATACATATAGGCCCATGAGAGCAAGAGATATGTCTTTTAAATTTCGAAATAAGTTGTTCACATTTTAGAGCATGGAACAGGAAAAAGGAAGCTACCAAAAGTCTACTGAATCCTTGTCCAGCCAAAATCTCAGGTGAAATCAGAGAAAACTTCTCAGCAACAACTGTACAGCATGAGCTATCCTGTTTATAACACAATAATCAGCACATTCATTCATGTTATGAACAATTGGGACAAAATAATGAAGCTGCCAAGGTTATAATGAATAAGTTTCAATCATACCTCTGCCACAGTAACACTCTTAACCCAGGGATATACAGATTCTCCCTGTTAAACAAAACAAAACCTTAACCATATTGAACGTCTCAACAAGTAGCAGGGTAAGCTTAAACATATCCACATTGAGTTCATCAAAGCACCTGTTTGCAATTGAAATTTTCCACTACAGCCTCTTTCAATGCCTGTTATAGGAAGACAAGAGTATGAATCATTTACCATGGTTAAAAATTCAAGTGCATCGAAATTTTCAAATCTGACTTACCTCTTGCTTGGCTGGGAGCTTGTGGCCATTTAATAGAACTACTTTAAGACTCCCAAATAGATCATAATATGACAGATCAATCTGCTCCAAATTTCACATGAAAGATAAACTCATAAGTTGAACAGACATGTCGTAATTGAAAAGTTATGAGTCAGGCCCCAGCTAGTCACAGACTCACAGGTAAAGGCGTTTAAAATGAGAGAGAAAAGAATCCGGATTAGTCAACTGTAAAACCGAATGATTCACATATGATTCAACGATATGGTTGTTCCACATAGGGGAGAGGCAGGGAGCGGTGAATGATTGGGGGTAGTAAGGGAGCCAACATGGGGGACAGTAAACTGAGGATTAAGGCTGTGTTCTAGAGCGCTTGAATGGATAATGTAAATCTTGTATTTAGTTTCACCAAGAAAATCACGACAGGGATTAAAACTTTTACTGAATGATAAAATAAAAGGAGTTGGACTATCTTTGGTCATCAGCACTGACCTATCTAAGTGGAAGCTAATAGAAGAACACCATAAAACATTAAAAATTCCAGTAGTCAATGGAACGTACCTATCTTTGGTCATCAGCACTGACCTAACTAAAGTGAAAGCTAATAGAAGAACAACATAAAACATTATAAATTCCAGCAGTCAATGGAACGTACCTCATCCACGAATATTAAGGATGACTGATCAATTTGACAAGAATCAAGTAACCATTTGAGTTCAGCTTTAGAATTTATGTCCGACCTCTTCATGTTGATGACAGGCACTGTGCAGAACTGGTCAGATTTTTGTGTTTCATTCAGGTAGAAGGCATAACTGACGGTTGAAGCAACAGATCCAACATCTGCAAATTGTCAAAGAGAGGCAAAAATGTATACTGACATAAATTCACAAATTTGGCTGAAAGATAGAGAAATCTCAACGACCATTCTGAAACACATTATGAGCATCAAAATACAGGTGTTTCTTATATTTATTTTTCAATTCGTATTGATAAAATTTATGGACATATTAAGTTTACTTTTTTAATTCGTATTGATAAAGTTTATGGACATATTGAGTTCAGCAAAACATCTATATAGTATTAGACAGGATAACAACTCAAATGTTTTTTATCTTTTCAGGGTATACAGGCATATTAAGTTTGTTTTGAAACTCATACTGTAGCACAATGAGGTTACTTACATATAGATGTAAATTTAAAAAAAAAATACGATACAGAAATCACAAAAGTACAAGTAAAGAAATGTTGGAAAGGAGAATTAAAGGCAGGCATTACCAGCAACATCTTGAGCCATTACAACATGTAAGAATTTTCCCGGGACACCGGCCTTAACTTCATCCTTTGTGGCTTTAAGAAACAAATTAAGCTTGTAAATGCTTGGACACGATGCAACAATTTCAAATTGCGGCGAGTCCCCATTATAAAACGATGCAGCAGACTGAGGAAGTGAAACTGTGGACAGGTTTTCTTTCCTTCTATTCACCCTGAATGATTTCCCACTTGTGACACTTGCTAGACCATTTACTCTACCATGCTTATGATCATTTGCTTCAATGGCGGGCTCATTTAATTTCCCCAAATCAAAGCTAGAAACTGGCTGAACATTAGCGAATGCTAATGAAGCAGTTTTACCAAGTTTCGCCCTTTCAAAGGGCTCAAGAACACTATCATCAGAGAATGGAAGCTGCCCTTTTCTTGTGAGAGTGTTACCAATATCCGACATGGTACGAGAAATGTTCCGCCTTCCGGGGATTGCCGGAAAATCAACAGTAGGAGGGCTAGGATTCTGATCATCAAGCCTCAACAGGCCATCGAAAAACGGGTCCTTTCTGGAACGGTTGTATGGCTCCTTCACCTACAAAACAACATCAATAGGCACAATTTCAGTACAATTTCAACGAAAAGAGGCTTCCTCTTTTACTCGCTGCGTCCCGAATTCAAACCCTGCTTCTCTTAGTCTAGCTTAGAGGAGTAATATCGGTCGTAACACAAAAAATAGCAAAACGAAAAGGTTAAGAATCAAATGAGCTTCAGACTGACCTGATTGAGTTGCCCAACTGCTTCGGGACTGGAACTCCTGGACCTCATGATTCTGAATAGCAATATAAGAAAGCGCCGGGAGAATGCTGTGGCAGTTTAGAATGCGTGAGAGGACGTCAAAAACCGTGACTAAAACAAGAGCACAAGACGCCATGGGAAGCCTTGTGAAATCCGCCATAATCTTAGCAGAGCTCAATAGCTAAGGAAACAAACTTTCAATCTTTCCATCTTCCCTTTCCCTATAATTTCACTGCGTGTTGTAAATTAACAGATACGTTAAACAATATTTAAAAAGTTAACCCAATAAAAACGGCCTTTGACGAGAAAACTTTTTCTCAGTTGGCAATCACATCTCATCCCAGCCAGCTGCCAGCCTACCGCTTCTATCGAACCCATCGAGCGGGAACCCAGTTCGTGTCTGAGCTTCAGTTCCACCGCCCCGACTCCTTGACCGTCATCGTCGAGAGGACCGGCTCCAAGCGGCGCGAAAAGAACCGACCTTTAAGTCATCGATTCTCGAAAGGGTACTCATATTTTTCAAACTATTTTCCAATTTTCTAATCTGGTTTGGCTTATTCCAATTTTATAATCTTGGTGTGGCTTGTTTGCCAGCGCTTTGACCTTGGGTTTTCTTGTTTTGTTGTATCCTTGTGAGTGGTTTTTTATTATCTGTTTGGCTGCTAGGAAAACGTACGAAAATGGAGGGAAATGGGTTTTTCATAATCGTCGAAAATTTCTGATGTCAGCTCTTTCTGTGAATTCTATGAAAAGCAACAATTTTTTAATCCGGGAATCAGTTAATGTCATTACAAATTTTGTGATAGGACTAGGGGTCATTACAAAGGAAAAGCTGCTATTTTTTCCAAGTTAGGGTCATTACAAAGCTGCTATTTTCAGCTTCTGATTTTCAGCTTTGACTGACCCCTAACTTTGAAAAAAAGCAGGTTTGGCTTTGTTTTCCAAAGACATAAAACACCCCAGCTTTTTTCCACACCTGCTTTTGAAAAAATTTAAGCAATGCCAAACCAGTACCAATTTGGTTCTTTTACTTTTTCAGCTGCGATGGACATCCCTCTGCCTGTTCATAAATTAGCTCTGCATTTGGTTAATCACGATGACAAGTAAGTTCACTTTATCAGTTTTATTTATTGATGTTTTTGCTTGTATTTGTATCGTTTGAGATACCGAACATGTCTGGCTTTCGAAGATTGAATTTTGCTTCAACTTTAGCAGGATGATAGAAGGAACTGGAAGGAATACATAAACGTATAGCTTAAAGACATTAGATTTTAGCTTGCAGTAGAAATTGCATTACCTTTTAGTTTTCGGAGAATTGCATTTGTTTGTTAAATTTCCAGCATGGATGTTATTATGTTAATGTTGACAAAGTTCGTACCATAAGGTGTAATGTTTTTGTAAATACGTTAGCTCACTCTTTCTCTCTCTAAACTAGGGACAAGAAGTACGTAGTTCTAGTAGCAACTGGAAGTTTCAATCCTCCTACCTATATGCATTTACGAATGTTGGGTAAGTTGCAGCACAAACTAAGGGCTTGTTTGGAAGTTCTTTTAAAATGACTGAAAGCACTTTTAGCGAAAATGTTTTTGGGTTCTAAAGTGCTTTTTCAGGATTCAATTGCATTTTTACGAAGGATGTTCCACAAACATTTTCACCAGAAGCGCTTTCAACTGCTTTAAAAGCACTTTCAAACAAGTTCTAAATTTATTTCTCATTTGACAGCTAAATTAGGAATTTACATATATGCAAAATGCACTCTCTTTTTTGGACCGGGTCATTGCCTCGTGGGTTTCATTTTCTAATTGTGACTTTGGATCTTTTACTTAGTTTTCAGTGGAAATTACAGTTTATAATTTATATTTCGACCAATTTTGTTCTTGTCAACAGAGCTGGCAAGAGATGCACTAAATTCAGAAGGCTTTTGTGTAATTGGAGCTTATATTTCGCCTGTTAATGATGCATACAACAAGAAGGTTTGTAACCTTAATAGCATCTCTGTAGGCATCGTAGTAGAAAAAGCTTTTATATGCTCAATGTTAAGTGCACAATATGCACAGCGGTACCGACCAAAGTTCTGAGATGAGGCTACATTTCTGAGATGAGGCTACATTAGGAAGTTGGTCATATACCTCAAGTTCTTCCATGACCCTTTTAACCGGCGTTGTAGAAGCAACACGATTAAAGTTATAACAAAAGTTACTTTAATGAGTTTGTCTCAGTTATGAGGTTTTTTTTGTTAGTTTATAAGTGTATTTGCTGAAATATAATAAGAAGTCAGTTTTAAATATCAGCCCTTGGATCATAGTCCAAGTGTGCAGCTAAGATGTAATCTTAGATTAATTAATATTTCCTCTTGCTACATGTGCTAAGTGTGTGTGAATGAATGAAACAGTGTGCAGAGTTTGTTTCTTCTTCCCAAGCAGAATTCTCTCACTCTCTCTCTAGATTTCTTACTCTCTTCCTTTCTTCAATATATATAAATTGATTGAAACACTCATACAAGATCATAGTCTGTATGCTAACATGGCCTCAGAGCTGTGTTCGATCAATTGATACTGGGCGTTTGGATCTGTGAAGAGAGCTACCCAGCAACTCAAAGCTGCGATCGAGTTGATTGCGATCTGAGTCTAACATGGCAGGATCGGGTAGTGGTGAGGTGAGAGCACCAATTTTCAATGGTGAAAATTATGAGTTCTGGAGTATTAAGATGAAGACCATTTTCAAGTCCTACGGATTGTGGAATTTGGTTGAAAAGGGTTTCGATGAATCAGATATGAAGAAGATTGATGAATCTGAGGCGAAGAAGAAAGACAAAGAAGAGTCTAGTGGTGCTGGGAGGATGACGCTTGTTGAGGTGCTCATGAAGGATGCTAAAGCTCTGGGTCTGATTCAGGGCGCTGTTTCAGATGAGATATTTCCCAGAATCTCTCATGAAGAAACTTCAAAAGGCGCATGGGACATTCTGCAGCAAGAATACCACGGTGATAAACAGGTTAGAAGTGTTAAATTGCAAGGTCTTCGTAGGGAATTTGAATATACCCGAATGCGAGATGATGAATCACTTTCTGTTTATCTTACAAAACTATTTGATCTGATAAATCAAATGCAGAGCTATGGAGAGGAATTATCTCGAGAGAGAGTTGTTCAGAAATTATTAATCAGTTTGCCATCAGCTTATGACTCTATCTGTTCTGTTATTGAGCATTCGAAAGATTTGGATGTGATTGAGGTACAAGAAGTGGTTGCTTCCTTGAAGAGTTTTGAGCTACGTCTAGATAGACATTCTGAGCACAAAACTGAGAAAGCATTTGCTAGTCTCAATGTAAATCCCAAACCAGCTAAATTCACAGGAAATCAAAGTGCAAGGTATCATAAGAATTGGAAAGAAAAAGGGAAGAGGTGGGATAACAAACCCACTGATGGTGCTAGAAATCCTTGTAAACATTGTGATAAGCTACATTTTGGTGAATGCCGATTCAAGGGTAAACCAAAATGTTATAACTGTGATAAGTTTGGTCATATTGCAAGGGATTGTAATAGCAAGAAAACCAGTGCAACAGCTCAATTATGCAAACAAGGTAGAATCTACACCCACCATGTTTTATGCTAGTAATCAAACTTTTACTAGTGTAAAGGACTGTGATGATGTATGGTATGTAGATAGTGGGTGTAGCAATCATATGACTGGAAGGGAGGATTTACTTGTGGATATTGATAGGAATGTAACTGCAAAAGTTGAAATGGGTACTGGACAGCTTGTTGATGTAACTGGTAAAGGGAGTCTTGTAGTTGAAACTAAACTAGGCAAGAGATATATCAAGGAGGTTATGCTTGTGCCTGGACTGAAGGAAAATTTGCTCAGTGTGGGTCAAATGATGGAGCACGGTTATTATTTAGTGTTTGGAGGTCACAAGGTGGAAATCTATGATGACAGTTCATATTCCAACATGGTTGCTAAAGTTCCAATGAAGGGAAATCGAAGTTTTCCAATGAAATTACAGACTGGAATACATATTGCTTTCAAGGCAAATGTATGTGCTTCTACTACTATGTGGCATAAAAGGTTGGGACACCTAAACCTGAGCAGTTTGAAATTGATGCAGGAACAAGAAATGGTAGTAGGATTACCAGAAATCAAAGTAGCTAAAGGAGTATGTGAAGGTTGTGTTCTCGGCAAACAATGTAGAGAAGCATTTCCAAAGGAAGCTAATACTAGAGCTGCAATTCCTCTAGAGCTTGTGCATAGTGACATTTGTGGTCCAATGCAGAAAACTACAAAAGCTGGAAATAGATATTTTCTTACTTTCATAGATGATTGTACCCGAATGTGTTGGGTGTATTTTTTAAGGCATAAATCTGAAGTTCTCAGTGTGTTTAAAAAGTTCAAAGTCACTGTGGAATTACAGAGTGGTTATAATCTGAAAAAGCTTAGGAGTGATCGAGGAGGTGAATACACTTCAATGGAGTTTAACAAGTTTGTTGAAGATGTAGGCATGGAAAGACAACTTACCACTCCATACACACCACAGCAAAACGGTGTGGCAGAGCGAAAGAACAGAACCATCGTGGAAATGGCTAAGTGTCTTATGTTGGAGAAGAAGGTTCCACTTGAATTCTGGGCTGAGGCAGTCAATACCTCTGTGTACATTCTGAATCGATGCCCAACCAAAGCCTTACATAAGAAGACACCTTTTGAAGCTTACAGTGGGAGAAAACCAGGAATTAAGCATCTAAAAGTGTTTGGTTCTTTGTGTTATGCTCATGTACCAAGTCAACAGAGACAAAAAACTCGATTTGGCAAGCAAGAGGTGTGTTTTCTTGGGATATGGTAGTTGTGAAAAGGGATATAGACTGTATAACATTGAATCTGGAAAGGTGACTATTTCCAGAGATGTTGTGTTTAATGAAGAAGCATGTTGGGATTGGAATGCACAGAAGGAAAGAAGGGAGAGTATCCAGATCTTTGAAATGTCTGCAGGAGAACAAAACTGTGAAGGAAGTGCTTGTGATTCTGAAACACAATGTGAAGTCAGTGAAAGAGAATGTTGGGTCAGATTTAGTTACTGAGCTATCTGATCAAGAAAGAGTGACAGGTCCACAGGATTTTGATCACACTCCTCTCAAGTATAGAAACATTGCAGAAATATATGAAAAGTGTAATCTGTGCATAATAGAACCCGAATGTTTTGAAGAGGCTGCCAAGGATGAATCATGGCAGAAGGCTATGGAAGATGAAATCCCTATGATTGAGAAGAAGAATCATACTTGGGATCTTGTTGATAGACCATTTGATAAACCAATCATTGGAGTCAAATGGGTTTATAAAACAAAACTAAATCTGGATGGTTCAGTGCAGAAAAACAAAGCACGGTTGGTTGCAAAGGGGTACTCTCAGAAGCCTGGAATCGATTTCAATGAAACTTTTGCACCTGTGGCAAGACTTGATACTGTGAGAACCTTGGTGGCCCTTGCTGCACAGAAAGGATGGAAATTATTTCAGTTAGATGTAAAGTCTGCATTTCTAAATGGAGTGTTGAATGAAGAGGTGTATGTGGATCAACCATCTGGTTTTGTTATACAGGGCAAGGAAGACAAAGTGTACAGGCTCAGGAAAGCTTTATATGGTTTGAAACAAGCTCCAAGAGCTTGGTATGAAGAAATAAATTCCTATTTTGCAAAGGCTGGATTCCACAGAAGTCCGAGTGAAGCTACTCTTTATATCAAGACATCTTACAGTGGCATTCTTATTGTGTCACTGTATGTAGATGATATTATTTACACAGGGAGTTCAAAAGAGATGATAGCTGAGTTTAAAGGTGAGATGATGAGACAATATGAAATGACTGATCTAGGATTACTTCATCATTTCCTTGGTCTTGGGGTATTGCAAACAGATAATTACATCTTCTTGCATCAAAAGAAATATGCAAAGACTTTGCTTGAGAAATTTGGACTTAGGGATTGTAAGCCGGTTGCAACACCATTAGCTATGAATGAAAAACTTACAAAAATAGATGGAAGTGATCTGGCAGATGAGACTTTATATAGACAAATGGTGGGAAGTTTGCTATATTTGACAGCAACAAGGCCAGATATTATGTTTGCAGCAGGCTTATTGGCTAGGTTTATGCACAATCCTACCAAGAAGCATATGGGGACAGCTAAGAGAGTTCTGAGATACATACAAGGCACTGTGAACTATGGAGTGGTCTATGAAAAGGGAAAAGGAGCAGTGTTGGTTGGTTATTGTGATAGTGATTGGAGTGGAAGTGAAGATGATATGAGGAGTACATCTGGCTATGCATTCAATCTTGGTTCTGGTGTGTTTTCTTGGGCCTCAATCAAACAAAGCAGTGTTGCTCTTTCAACTGCAGAGGCAGAATACATCAGTGCAGCAGAAGCTACTGCACAGGCCATTTGGCTAAGATTTGTACTCTCTGATTTTGGGGAAGAACAAGCAGAACCAACTAAGTTGCTGTGTGATAATACTTCAGCAATTGCCATATCAAAGAATCCAGTCCATCATCACAAAACCAGGCACATTAATCGGAAATTTCATTTCATCCGAGATGCACTTCAAGATGGTGAGATTGATCTGGTATACTGCAAGACTGAGGAGCAGGTTGCAGATATATTCACTAAAACTTTGGCAAGGGATCGATTTGAAGTACTGAGGACAGCTTTGGGAGTGATTTCAGCACATCACTTAGAAGGGAGTGTTAGTTTATAAGTGTATTTGCTGAAATATAATAAGAAGTCAGTTTTAAATATCAGCCCTTGGATCATAGTCCAAGTGTGCAGCTAAGATGTAATCTTAGATTAATTAATATTTCCTCTTGCTACATGTGCTAAGTGTGTGTGAATGAATGAAACAGTGTGTAGAGTTTGTTTCTTCTTCCCAAGCAGAATTCTCTCACTCTCTCTCTAGATTTCTTACTCTCTTCCTTTCTTCAATATATATAAATTGATTGAAACACTCATACAAGATCATAGTCTGTATGCTAACATTTTTACCACTTTATGCTAGTGAAGTGCTATAACTAAATTACATAATCAGGTATCACATCCCTCTGTTGCCACATACTGAGATGGTCACTTGGTTGGCTATGTAGGGACTTATATCTGCTGAACATCGTGTACAGATGTGTCATCTAGCTTGCAAGAGTTCAGAATTTATAATGGTTGATCCGTGGGAGGTATGTCCCTCCTTCTCCACCACAAAAATTCTTTAGAATCTTAGATGATGATTCTGTATGTGGTTCTGTGTCTTATTTATTTACTACCGCTAGGGTTCTGTGTACTTATGCATAGAAGTTATAAATTGATTTTACAGGCAAGACAAAGTAGCTTCCAGCGCACCTTAACTGTTCTATCTAGAGTCAAGGGTTTCTTGTCTGAGGCTGGTATGATACCAAGTGGTAAGATTTGCAAACTGTTATCCCTTATTTTCCGTTTGAGCAATTAAGCTGCACCGGCAGCTTTTTTTTTTTTAGTAAGTTATATGTATGCATGGAGAAGGTATAGATGCAAAGCACACATGCACTGTGCACATGTTCTTTCCCAAAACTGTATGGCTGTAACATCATAGGAAGTTTGTCAGGAAGGCTTTGTCATATTGGTGTTTGAGGCTCTTAGTCCATCGAATCCATCCATAAGCAGCAGTGCTGACACTCAACACAAATTTCGTTTTACGGACTTTGTGTAATCAATTTGATGCATGATAATTCTGGAGCTGGTTTCAGTTCTACATCATCATTGTTAATTTTGGATGGCAATACGATTGACTTTTGTGTCTTGCTCGTGATAGAATCCCTCAAGTGCATGCTTGTATGTGGTTCTGATCTACTCCAGTCTTTTGTCATTCCTGGATTTTGGATTCCTGAGCAGGTCTGTCTATAATTCAATATTACGGTGGTCATATATAGTCGATTCATGCAAGATAATCATCTCATTGTCCAGATTCTTGCTCTTATTTATCAGGTGAGAAGCATACGTGGAGATTATGGTGTGGTTTCCATTCGCAGGGATGGACAAGATGTTGACAAAATTATCTCAAATGATGAAATTTTGAAAGAGAACAAAGTAAGTTGATTTACCATTGCTTTCGGGCTCGTGAATTGTAATGATCAATCAAATCTCATTCAGCGTTATAACACTGGGTTTTTTAGCTATACCTATATTAGACTGGTTAGTTTAACTAGCGTCCACAATGGTGTTATTCTCATGTAGTTTTCAAATCTGAATATAAGTTAACCAAATTATTCGGATTGTGCTGTAAAAGGGTAGAATTTGGTCTAAATTGAAAAGCAAAAAATTTCGTAGTGATTCGAAGTTTGCAAAGTGTAAAACCTTTTGTTGCCTGAATAGTTTTGGTTTGAAACTTCTTACAGTCCACTGCTTGTGGCCTCATTGATGCTATTAAACCTTTTTCTTCTTTTGTAGGGTAACATAAAAGTTGTGGATGAACTTGTACCGAACCAAATAAGTTCAACGAGAGTAAGGTAAAGACAATCTGATTCATTGACAGAAATGTTTAGGGAATGTTGAATTGATAATTTACATTGTTTTTCAGGGATTGCATTTCAAGAGGATTGTCAATAAAATATCTGACTGCAGATGAAGTAATTGATTACGTTAGAGATCATCGTCTGTACTTGAACACAAATGACAAATGATGATATTGTCTTCATCAAGGGATGTACATGGTTATGAGATCGTTCTGCAGAAAGCAGAAACCAATAATTAACTAATCGATTGATACCGCACATTATGTTTGGCAAGGGAGTAGACAGCATTCTGGATTTTCTTCATTGTTTTATTTTTCAAATTGTGTTGAAGTTCAGTCTGCAGAAAGCTTAACTTGTTCTCCGATGCATAATTTGGTATATAATGGCCCCATCCCCACCGATGATCCACGTAGTTTGTATATGTTATATGCCTACGTCAAGTGCTAGTCTATAACATCTGCCATAGACGAATGCAGGAACGATCTGACTAGAAAGTTATTCAGCACTTGATGAAGAAAACGATCTGAGTATAGAGTTGATTATATGAAGTTCTAGATTGAAATGCTTGTTGGAAGTGATGTGCTACATGTTTTACAGTACGTGCAAAGAAGCACTTGAAGTACTAAACAAAGTAGGTATCAGTTTGGTATGAATCATACCGTATGATAGGAGCCAAAAACTTGAAATCAGCAAGAATCTCTTGTTTTGGTAGTACGAACAAGGACAAAAGAGAAAGTTGGGTGCCGGCGGTTAACTCGACGGGTAGAGTGTTTGTTCTTTACTAAGGTTTTCCGAGTTGTTAAAAGGAGGCAGAATGGCTGAAGATGTTAACAAAGGTAGATATTAGTCGACTATATGAGTTTGACACCCAAATGAAGGTGATAGTTGAAGGCAAAGCTCCAAATGACATGGGATTTCTACCGTTTGTGCACTGTGCTTTTACTCCAAGACCAAGAGAGACCAATAGGCTGGCTAGCTCAATCTTTGACTCACTTCACTTAGGATAGTCTTACCAACGAAATTCCTAAAGTGCATCAATGTATTGTTGAATAAAGCAAAAAGTCTTGCGTCGGCATTTCACAAAACAAATCACAACTTATATTAGATGATTCAATTTATAATTGCATCTAGGTTTTTTGCATAGAAACTACACACTTATTGATTGCATGGATGATTAAGTGAGTGCACTATTGATGTTGTAAGTGGTAAACCACAGCCTAACGGAGGACATGACACAAAACCAAGCACAATGGTATTCTAGGATTCATATAGCCGACCTCATTTAGTGAAAAAAAGCTTTATTGTTGTTGTATGACATTCAACCCTAAATTTAATGGGTTGGTGTTCTTTGAAGGACTCACTCAAAGAGTTCCGACATGTTTTATCAAAAGGAAGCAAAGAAAATCCAAAAGCCGATATTTTACGAAAGAGTTGTTTGCTTAGTATTTTGCTGTTCAAGAAGCAGATGACATTTGGGCTGCAAGCCTAGTTGGAAAGGTGTTTCTGATTCCGAAAGAAATTTATGAATCCGAATATTTTTTGGAAAATTGGAATGCATTTGGGACTCCGATAATTCTGAATTTCAGATTTAAATTTTTTCGTAGTGTTCCGAATTTATTCTGACAAAAAAAATTCTAAATTATTTCGATTTTCTAGTTAATTATTTACTCAAATCATGCATTTTATGATCTATTTTTATGTTTTATTGTTAGTTTTGGATACCTTTTGTTTTTTTTTTTTCAAAATTTATGAGATTATCATGATTCCAAATATTTCAAAAAATTCTAATTTGAAAATTGTGATCCGATATGATCAAATTTCAAAATTTTAGAACGAAAATTAGAAACGTTGTTTCTGATCCGATCCCGTCCGAAAATCTCCCTTAGATAATAATATTGAATAAAGTATTGAGATAAGGAGTAAAAACAAATGATGGTGTTACGGAACTTTAACTTAATGCCAATATATAATGGGATGTGCTATTCACACACCCCTTTTTACTTCTCACATGTCCTTTGTTAATTTTTGCCCTTTGATCTTCTTTAATTCAGTTGATTCAATGGCCGTAAATTAAGAGGGTGTGTGTGAAGTAAAAATGAATGTGTAGATAGCACACCCCTATATAATTAGTTAAAGAAAAGTGCCAATCTTTTGACCAACGTGATGCATGCAGTGCACTAGTGAGCATTTTCACAATGATATTGACATTTTTCTGTGTGAATTATGAGTTGATCAGTTCTCTCTCGGTCTTCATGCTTTATGTCCAAGAAAATGAGAATGATGCTGCTGGTGACTTACCAAAAGAAAAGGAAATACTGTTGCTGAAAGGATTGGCGATTTGGAGAAGATAGAGAGATCATAATAATCCCAATTAAAATGTAGACAAAAGTTGAAACAATATGTATGCCAACATTGGAAGGTAGGAAGGTTAAATTAGACAAGGTGGGATAGTGTGGTCGTCCTAACGTTGATTAGAGATGGTTTTCCAGATGGTGCATGGATGCATGCGCAGTTCTACACAAATCATTTATATCAAAACTTTATAACTTCGTTTATCATTTTTTATTATTGGCTGTAAGAATTAATGTATTAGCTGTTATACTAGGGACGAATTTGTGACACTACTTTTATTACATAGCTTTTGACACATATTATTAGGGGCTCGCTCTGTAATGTATTTCAACTATCCGAACCATCTATCTTTCAAGTCTTCCTTCAAAGATTATATCTCCCAAAAGGCACTCAAATCTAAAACTATTGACCGTTGAATTAAGGGTTTAGGTTTTATTTTTTATTTTTTTTAGAACCGTATTCTATTTATCCTTTTTTCTTCACTACAAATGAATGTCTTAATGGTTTTAAATTTGTCTAATTTTGGCAGTGGTGATCTATAAATGATGTCCTAAAAGATAGACAGTTTGTTTGGATCGTTAAATTTGTCTAAACCTTTTCTTTTTATAGCCCCGTAGCATTTCGTTCACATCCAAATCAAGGGGGTGTAATGTATATGGAGTTTGATGGACTTTGCTTGATTTTGAAATCCAGTTCATTATAGACTTTTAATGAGTCAATAAAAGTCACATTGTATTAAATAAAGAAAATTAATAACTTCCAAAAAGTCTATGAAAATTTTGTGGTTTTCAATTATGACTTTTTGCAAGTCTACAAAAATCTGGGTGTATTCAAAATTTCATTGATTTTAAAGATTTGAAATAGTCATGGACTTTGAGTGCTTTTATGGTAAGTTTATTGTCATATCAAATCCAATGTCTACCCCTAAGATTTTGAAGGATTTCACTTTTTCCACGCCACCACCAACTTACCATGACCATCCATCCACCCCATCGCCACCATGATCATAATCGCCGTCACCAACTTCACTGCCATGAGCATCATCATCATCGCCACCCTCACCCCTACCTCTAAACCACCTCGACTACTACCACCTTACCATGACCATCACCGCGGTCTCATCATCACCATCGTCTTGTCATGATCATCACCACCATACCACAAACTCCTGCGACCACCTTTTTATTGTCGTCATCACCACCACCATGACCACCTTTATCATGGCCGTCACTTTACCACCATCATCACCACCCCCATCACAAATGCTCCACCACCCAACACTACGCTATAGACACTATTTTCCATCCCTACTATTATCTTCGCCACCAAAAAAACCACATGTACTACCACCAAATTGCCAAAAATACCACATGACACTCCCACCACCGCATATGATCAGGGTGTAGTCAAATGAGGATTTTAAAGGATTTTAAAAGACTTTAGAATCATGTTGTAGTCAACTGAGATTTTAAAGGATTTTTATAGAGTCCATGCAATCTATAGGTATTCAAAAATTCATGGATTTTGAAGGATTTCTTTCAATAAGAGATTTTGTAGGATTTGAAAAGGGATTATAAGCATGACAAAATCCTACCTCCACCCCTAGGATTTCTTTTCAACCCCCTCACTCTTTCTCTCTCTCTCCATTCTACAACTTGATCTTTCTTTCTCACTTTCCATTTCTTTCAGACATAGCAACCTGATTTCCTTTCACGTTCATCTGTAACCTTCCCAATTGCAAACTTGAATTTTTTGAATTGTACAATATTTTTTGAATTTTTTATTTCCTTTATTTTGGACTATGTAATAGTATTTCTTGTAATGCTTTGATGGGAAGTGTTAATAACTACTAACAGTTCTTGTAATGATTATGCGTTCTATCTGAATGTATTAATTTTTTACCATGTTAATTGAACTCTTGGAAATTACTACTAAGAATCTTATTGCCAATTCAAGCTTTCTGTTCTTTTTCGTGTAATCATGTTAGTGTAAGGGTACAAGCATCTTCCAAAACCTATTTATATTTGTAACTGTGTTTAGATTGAATAACACATTATGAACTAATCAATTGTTGAGGAAAAAGGGTTAATTTTGAGACATTTGATTTAAGAAGCACTTCTTGTTTTGATTAGTTAAAATTTTTTTTCGTAAACAAATCACAATCCAAATGAGAAAGGGAAAGAAAAGACATATTTGATTGGTTTATATTTCCATATCAATATACATATACTTATGTCTTTTTTCTAATTGTGCAATGAGAAAAGAATTTATGTTGTAGGAGTCAAAAAAGAAATCCTAAGAAATCCATACAAATCCACAAAAATCTATAATAGAAATCCATAATAATCTATCAAAATTCATATGGAATTGTAGAATCTATTAAAATCCTTTGAAATCTGTCACTTAAAGTCCATTACAATCCTCTAAAATCCAAATTGACTACATATGGTCCTAATCACCATTTATAATAATGACAAATTTAAAAATAATAATACTTTATTAATAAATTGATCATTAAAAAGTCAATGACAATTCACATAATTCTATTAAAATCCATGATAAAAATCTCATTAAGTTGAAATCCATATGGATTCTAAGGAAGTCACATTAACTCCTTGGAAATCTATGTATTCATAATTCTATGAAAATTATCAAATGCTATATACAATATACACCCCCCAAATTCAAGGTGAGGCTCCAACCGCTGTATTTTTAATTTTGTTGAAAAGCCATTGTTTATTTTAGTGACCTAAACTATGGAGAGGGAAGTTGAAACTCGGACGCATAAGATGGAGCACATTACTCTTGACTAAACTATATATTCAAGTAATAAGTTTTGCACGGCAAATGTGTGGAATCGTACAATTAATATAATGTTCTTGTGGTATTAATTTAGTGAGTGAAAAGAGAAGGAGATCGGCCAGAGAGAAGAGATGGGAGAGAAGAGTTTGATGAATTTTGTGTGTCATATTCCTCATGCATTGTATTTTTATTTATACTAATAAATGAAAGAGAATATTTGCTCTCCAAGTAATACAATTACAACTAAAAAACTGTTTAAAAGATATTATAAAATAGTACATATAATCTACTAGAATTTATATAATCACACTCCTAATAAATTTAAAATTGCAACAAAGGTGACTATTTTCTAAAGCAGAAAGGCAACAAGCACTACTCTCTGCTGGTCCACCCTTTAAAGCAGATAAATTGAAAGATCTTCGAGGGAGATCTAAAAAAGCATACCTAAAAAAAAAAAAATTGAATGGGGTCGATCATCGATCATGAGAAAAGTAAAAGCATGTTCCAATTTCCATTTTCAATTTTTCCATACAATCGGCGTAAATGGAGCTTATTTATGTTTAGATGGACCGACCACTAAACTAATGGGTCCTACTGTGTGCTACATTTGTAAAGATTTTAGATTGTTCGCTTAGTGGCTGTCCATTTGGTCCATGTTACAACTGTGGAAAATGAATATGTGGGTATTTGGGGGATTGAGGAACTACAATCATCATCCTGTTAGCGTTAGCTAGGTTGATCGATATCTTTCACCTAGAAAGTTTGACAATTTGTTTATGCACGCTTCAAATTACAAGGAAGAGGAAGAGGATGCATGTTTTTGTCTCGTGCATGCATGAAGTTTCCCTGTCTGTACAATGCAGATACAAACACATCTGGGTTGGACTTTTCTACAGTACCGTCTGCCACCGACTCTGTAGTTATAACTTATATCCACTCACACGTTTGGTACATCTTATTGTGTCATAGAAGCATTAGGTCCAGTCTTATACTACTAGACCTTATCAATTAAGATTGAACCGTGGGTGATTATAATTCTTTAGACCATGAGATCTAGAAAAACTTACTCATAGTATGTAATTGTGTGAACAAGTAAAATTGCCTTGGAAATGTGTGTGTAAGTTCTTCACGTGCATGCTATATTCAGTGTTCTCGATCTCTGTTGCGTGAAGATGACACAACAACAAAAAATACTAGAATCCAATTATGATGGCGGAGCCAAGATCTTACATCACGGGGGATCTTTCACAAATATCAAACTTTATTTTTTAATGCCTAAAATACGAGATAGATTGGTTGTATTTCGATTTATTTATCTCAACTCAGAAAAATATCATACCGCATCAACCATTAGGTTAATATGCAAGATAGAGGTAGATTATACTCATACTGCATCAACCATATAGTCACATAATCCAACTAATATTTAAGAGCAGATGGACTAGAAGTTCAAGCCAACAAAGAAAAATATCAGCCAACATTCTTTAGAGTAAGGGATAAATCCTGACAATTAGATTCAATTACCGCAGTAAAAAACTTCGACCTAAATTAATCTCCTCCGCCCAAAGATGAACGTGAAGTAATTAACAAGTTGAAGAAGCTACATCATTATAACTAAAATAAGAGAATCACAAATCCATGGATTTCAAGATTGCAACTAAACTTACCAAAAATAAAAGGAAGTTATGCTATATCTTATACATAGAAAAGGGAAAAAAAATTGCAAGATAGGCCCATAATTACTCTTGTCCTTTAGTGGCTCCGCCACTGTCCAGTAATGGTGAAGGAAAGGCCAACATGAGTACTGCTGCACTTGGCTATATACTGGAGGTTATTATTAGATCAACCTTGCTTCGGCCCTCATTTTCCATAGCATAATTCATGTGCAACAAGATATTAAAAACGCTCCCCCCCCCCCCCCCCAAAAAAAAAAAAAAAAAACAACAACATAACTTATTCACAATAAATAGGCCAATTAGTTGGATTTGACATTTGACATTTTTTTTTTCCCAATTGATTAGTTATACAGAAGGTATTGATAAAAATGAACATGTGAATAACACCATCCTTTGTTAAAATGAAAATACACAAAGTTGATATTGAGATTACGGCAAATATCCTTAAATAAAAGTGATAGTTGGATTTGGTAGAAGTTTTAGTATCTCCTTAGGTCGAAAGTCTAATAATCTCATCCAATTTACGTTCTCCCTTAATAGTTGCACATTTTCATTGTCAAAACTCCAGCGTAACTCATTTCTCAACCTTCATAACTTATATTTGGGTGGTGTATGCGGTCACCAACCGGTGTTACCCCAGAACTTTTTTACGTTTTTTTGTCACAAAAATTCAGTAAAATAAATCTCGTCCATCCGAGCCAAAAATCTTGTTGATCTATTTTTAATATCTACAAATATTTTGAAGATTTTTCTTTTATAATCAAGTATAAAAGACCTTTATTTTATTTTTCAGCAAAAAACAAAAAGAAAAATACAATAAGGGATTAGAAGTGCAATGCAAGGCGATTGGGGTGGCGGTGATGATGGCAATTACACCTACGGATTCTAATATAATTTCCAAATCTCCACTGTGATATAGTTTTTAAATGAGGATCCCTCTCAAAAGCAAATTGCATTCAAAATACATGTACTGTACATGGAAAGAAAATCTCTCCACTCATACATAGGCCGATGGCACTATATATATGGAGAGTTCACACATCACTTCTGTCTTCATATACCTCTGCCCCCACCTCTACCCACCTCCACTCTCTCCTGAGTTTTTCTTTGAAAGTACGTTTCTATGGCGATCAATGAGGAAGCTTGCCTTGGGCGTGGAGGCTGCAGCAAAAGGTGACTTGGGTTATGCCTGGCTCCCTGTATGCCACAAGCAGAAGTTCAATTTCTTGATTGGCTATTGTGGGTGGCGTACAAGGAGCCAAGCATACTATCTCTCTTTCTTTTAGTCGTCTTGCATTCTGCTTTTGCTTGCACATATAAGATTTAAGTTCTTTGGTGCCCATATTTGAATCACCTTCACCCACTTGCTGGTGCACGCATATGCTTTTCATAGACAATACTTGAGTGAATTAAACTGGTCGTATCATCTCAATTGACCTCATAATATCGTGTGATCTCTCTAACGAAGTGAGGCACATCTACGCACTTGGTAAGTTGAGACAGTGTAGAATGTTGAATATGAAGTAAACGTGCTTGATGCAATACCGTTGCATTCAGTGTTTGAGTGACTGGTAATTCCGATAAAATTAAGCGAATTTGAAATTTTCACATCTTATGTTATCAAGCATGGCTGAGAACGGGTTTTTTTAACAGGTCGTTGTACCCTGAAAGCCCCCTTCCCCCCAAGCCGCTCCCGAAGACCTATTTTACCCTTCAACTGTCGAAGCTTTCCTTCAATTTTTCCTTTCATCAATGAGTTGAAAATCTTGAGTACCCAACAAAAATTCCCAAGCATTTTTTTTTTTGAAAGGAAGTAATTAGGTTAAGATTAATATAATCTTTAGTAAAGCCAGCGTAGTTAGCTTAGTCGTAGGATGATGGGATAAACCCTCTAATGTAACCAAAAAAATTACAAATCTTTTGTAATTAGGGATAAATCAAGAACCAATTTTGACTTGACTGGTTGTCTCATTTTCTCTTCTAAAATTGACATTTTAAACTTATTTTTGTGTCATTTCACTCCATTCCGTTAAAAAACCTTAAGTTCAAGAATATTTTTAGATATTTCACTTTTTACACTCTTTTATTCAGGACTTTTCCAATAACTATTATATAAGATGGGGTGAATTCAATTAGGATTTTAGGGATTTTAATTATTTTAATGAATTTAAGGGTATTCAATCAGGATTTTAAGATAGTTTATTAAAATCCTTAGAAATTCGAATGTATTCAATTATGATTTTAAAGAAGTTTATAACATTGGTCTATTCAATTAGAAATTAATTTTAAAGAATTTGAGAAAGTTGAGGAATTAGAAGGAAATTGAGAGATTTCGTAGTGTATTTTAAGCATCCACAAATCTCACATCTCCCCATAAGATTGTGAAGGAATTAAATCAAAATTTTATATAGAATCTCTACATATTAATTAAACTCTATAAAAATTAATAGGTTTATAAATCCATTAAAATCTCTCAAATTATAATACATTCCAAAAAAACTTAAGGGAATCTATTTTTATATATTTGCGATTGAAATAAATGCAAATTAATCAAATTGTTCAGAATAAAAAAAAGATTAAGTTTTATGATGTAAAGTGAATTTGATCTTTTGAAGTCTCAAAGCCACTTTTATCATTTTATGCTGTAAAGTACGCACAACGAAATGACAAACCCTGCTCACTTTTTATCTCCAAACGGATTTAATATGGTTTTTTTTGGGAGTCCAATTACATTAGATATACTGTTGGAAGGACTAGCTCCAATAAGAGGAGACACGGAGTACAGATTAAGGCCTAATTTTATCTGCAGATTGACAATGACAGCTTTATTGGCCATCAAAACTCAAAAGAGGACTATTGACTGAGATGTTCACTTTTCCTTTTCCATCATGCTCAATCCATCCATCCTTCACCTCCACCACCACCACCACCATCATCAGCAGCAGCAGCTTTAATAAGCATCTGATTCGCATTCGTTATGTGCCAAAGTTTAATGTGATTGCTGCTATAGAACCCTAGCTAGCCTCCTGTCTCTGACCTGAAAAAAAGATGCTTTGAGAGATGATCATAGACCGTGATTGATACAGATCGTAACCTTTATTCCCAGACAGCATCTTTATCTGTATTATTTCTCCTGTCTATGATTTAAATTTATTCTCCGAATCATGGAGAAAAAGTCCCTACGGATCACCAAGAATTTTGTTATTACAAGTGTTGTGAAATGTCTGCTGCGGATATCCCAGCTTTACTAAGAATTTTGTTACCCTTGCCAACAATTCACTTCTGCCATACAAATAATTTATCGCTTTACGATTTGCACAAAATAATCCAATTTACGTATGATTAGGTATGATTAGGTATGATAATGAGTAGGCTAATGCGAATTAGGGTTATTTTTCAATGTTTCTCCACCATTTCACGAACTTGTTTGCTCAACAGATGCTCCAATAACAGCATAACAACATAGACCAGATTCCAGAACATTGATGGTAGAACACGGGTTGGTTTGGTATTACTATGCTTTGAAAAAAAAAAAAAAAACTGCTTCTACTGTGAAAATAAACTCATTTTTGCGCTTCACATTTTCAGCTATTTTTTCACTCAAAACTGTGAATAAGTTGGTTTTAAGTGTTTACCAAACACATTTTTTAGCTCTAACTTTTTTTTTATACCCACTTTTTAAAAACATCTTATTTTCACAGTTTTTTTGTGAAAAAAACTGAAAACATGAAGCAACAAAAATGAATTTATTCTCATAACAGATACAGTTTTTTTTTTCAAAATAGAACAATACCAAATCAATCCTAAATATGATGAAAGGACCACAAAATAGAGCCTTATCAAAATTTCTTGACGTGGCACCAACAAAGGGTTAAAGCAAAAGTAACAAGGCCCAAATTAAAGAATTTCCCCGTGTAACTAATTAAACCCTTCAATTTATCTGAATAGTTGTAAAAATGATGTAAAACAAATGATTGAAAGGATCGAAAAAATAGTTAGACAAGACAAAAAGTCAGCAACTAGGTTCATGCATTGCATATTTGGGCTATGGTCTCCAAGTTGGACCCCTAACTTGTGTTTCGAATAGAAACCAAACACTTCACTTTGTCTTTGTGTAGGGGCATTTTTTCTCAATACGAGATTTTTAGATTTTAGGACTTTTTTTAGTATTTTGTTATTTGTTTAATTCGTTTTCTTTTTGTATTTTTTTTAGTACATTAATATTTTTACATTAGAGGGAGTGGGAGTTTGGTTAAATTACATAATGGACAATCTAATTTTGTATCGAATTTGTCATCCACGAAATTTGAACTTAAGATCTCTTACTTCCAAATGAAGAAGAATTTTTTTTTTTTTGTATTGATGTAGGGTTAAAAGGTACTATATAAGCAACCTCTAGGGTGCTAGGGTTGTAATTTTTCGTATAATCCAATAATAAACTTTGGAACTTTTCTCAGTTATTGGTGAATTTAGTTTGCTAGTAAATTCTAACTTAGGCTATTTCGTTCTCCATGTTCATTATATCACGATGCGTCAAGATAACTACGGACTAACTGCTCAATATCCTCCCATTGAACACACATCAGAAAAACCGTTGCCAACTCCCTCTAACCGCATGGATGGAACAATCTGAAACTGTGTACTCCACCGGGAAGCCATTGCCGCCAGAACCACCAACGTCGATAAAAAAAAAAAAAGCATATCA